TCCCAAAACCCCCCAGGTTCAACGACCAGGACATCAGCATTCTGTCGACGCTGCTCAACGCGGTGGGGCTGCAGCTCAGGGCGGATGACCCCGCGGCCATGAAGGTGCGGCATCCGCGACGCCCCTCTGGGCGCCCTGTGGTGTTTCTATTCACACTGCACCGCCGCGCTCTGTTTCTAGGCTTGGCAGGGGTGGCATGGCAGGGGTTTGAGACGTAAGGCGGTGCAAGGCGGGGGGTGCAAACGCGTGTGTTGCTTGCTGTCTGCTGCGTGAGAGAACGGCGTGCGGCGTGCATCCTCAAAATTCGCACGTGACCGAATCGCACGTGACCGAATCGAAACAGACACAGCGCATGCACAGGCTCATGTGCCCATACGAGGGTTGCATGCAACACGTGCATGTGCACACACACACACACACACACACACACACACACACACACACACACACACACACAAGAAACCAACCATTCACCCACACACATACACATTCACACTTGAATCCTTACCACCGCACTGACCACCACACCCCCATCCCCCCAGGACCTGGTAGTAGCAGTCCACGAGGCGGCGGCAAAGTCGCACGCCCGGGGCGCCGGGCTCGGGCTGACCAAGCGGGCGGAGATGATGCTCGAGCTTGTGATGGACATCAAGAACAACAGGTGATCTCGTGATCTGATCTTGCACGGCTTCAGATTTGAGATCACGAGATCACAGTGATCACAACATGGGGAAAGCACCAATTGTTAGGGGTTTCCCCTCGGCAGGCCAGTCAACAAGCCGTGTCCCGACCTGACAATGGCCATTCAAATTCGTGCGACTGACAGCTGCGACGATCGCGCTCTGCCGTGCGATCGCAGGAGCGGGGTCGCCGCCCCGGGCAAGGCCCCGAAATCGGCCAGCGCAGCCGGCGCCGGCGGCGGCGGCCGCAAGGGCGGCGCGGCGGCGGTGCTGGCGCCCGGCCAGATCAAATGGCTCAAGGGCAGCGGTGTGGATGACGTGAAGCTCGTCAACCTGAGCTGGGCCAAGCTGGTCGCGCCGGATAAGAAAGGTGGGCCTTGGTTTGGCGGGTTGCGGTCGCGACTGCGCGAGTGCTGTAGCGTGTGCACGGGTTTTGACGGCTTTGGACGGAGGGATTCCTTGAGGGTGGGGTATGAAGGAGGAGGTTTTCACGAGGGGGTGACGTGGACGGGGATTCAAAGGGTGTAAGATTTGGTGGGGGCAGGCTTGGGAAAGGCGTGGTGGCGCATGGGGTTCAGTGCGTTGGGTTTGTGGAAAGGCGGGTGTACTGCCCCTGCTCCCTGGCTTGGAGGAGAGTGCGACTCGAACCCCGCTTCCCGCAGGCATGTGGTGGCTGCCCGCCGCCATGGACGCTGCGGCCGGACTCCTCCCCGGCCTGGCGCCGCGAGACCTCGATCTGCTGCCCCTCCGCGGCGACGACAGCGGCGACGACGAGGAGGAGGGCCGCGGCGGCGGCGGCGGCGCGGGGACGGGCGCGGGTGCGGGCGCGGCGGAGCTGCTCAAGCTTGCGGCGGCGCAGCGGATGAACACAGACGTCCGGAAGGTGTTTGCTGGCCGTGGCGG